TTTATTGTCAACTCTGATCTGGTCAAATCTATTCTCGTCCCTGTGTCTTAAAGTGTGCTATTGAATAAAACAGTAGTGATGTTTCAAAAACAAGGACACAACAAAAGCCCCATGGATTTACCACCTTGTTTCTGTTTGCACCTTAATACAAGTGAGTAACTCTTCAACACAGTAAAATTGTGTCAAGGTATAGAATAGTTTATGATAGAGAATCCAAAATTGTATGTCTCATCTCAGATTTTTAAATTGTAAAAATATGGGCAATGAGATACATTCATTACACTCAGAAAATCCAACTCATTTAAAATCCTTTCAAGTTTTTAGTAACATAAACTTTCAGTCCTGAGACCCCTGTTTGATTTCCTCTATGTTGCACTCAGTACAATGCCTCCTAAGAGTATGCATAAATATTTTTAGTGAAAAATATCTGCACATCATGGGGCAAAATTATCAAGAGATGTTGTAAAAATCTTATTTCCTATATATTTATTAAATTGTTTTGTATCTCTACTATGTGAAAGCCAAAGTACATTCTTATTCTGAATTCTGAAATGTAATACAATGAAAGTAGAAATGAATTTTAAATGAAAATATTAAAAGGAAAGTTATTTTTCTTAAAATCCTAAAATTGTCCCCTGAATTGAGCATATATGGGCAAGTATAAAGTTAAATTTAAAACAACTGCATTGGGGTGGGATGAAAAAGGCTTCTTTTTTGTTGCTTCCTTTTGGCATCCCATAGGTATAATACCTATTCCAGAGATTTTCCCATTTCCGGAAGACTAAGACACATTAATATATGACTGTCACTTGTTTTTATCTGGACGTATGATTAAATGTAATGAAAATACCAAAAACAAGGATACAGGTCACAGATCAGAAACGTTCATTTTACAAACCTAAAATGAACTTTGAATCTTTTTTCTCCTTCCAGTAGTACAACTCTGGTTAATTGTCAACAACCTTTGGACTCACTATCGTATCCTTAGAGAAGCGCCACCTCCCACTGCCCTGCCCCCACCCTCACATGCACAAATACACACAGGAAAGCAGCCAAGATCCTGTATATGTAAGTTTTATTTGTAAATCCACATTTCTTAGCTTAGAGACACCTATATTCTGCAGAAAAATTTTCTTCTCTCTTACAATATGTAGATTGGCCAAAAACCAGGGAAAATGTCCTTGGATTGTAACCACAGTAAAATTTTACTTAATGCCTATGAAAGCGCTCACCAACCAAATTCCTGTGATAAGCTTCAGCATGAAGTATAACCACCACATTCAGTTTCAAAGTTCAATTGTTAGTTCCTGTGATAGATAAGCATGTACCCACAGTGCAGGGCAGGACAGTTATTGTGGCCAATGACAGAAAAAGTCAGGGGACGGGGCAGGTAACAACCTCTCCAGGAGGAGGGGGTGGTCTGTGCTGCATAGCCATCTGATCTCCTTCAACAAAACTCAGCCCTGAACTCTGCCTAGTTATTCTGCAGGAACATCAATATTCACCTTCTTTCCCCTAAGCTTTGGTTTGTCCTCTTTTCTGTGATTGGAAATATTTTTAAATTCTGCCTGGTTCTTTGCTCTGACATGAATGAACTGACTAGCTGTAAAATTTTTTGTGGAAGTTACTTACCTCATTTAATACTTAGTGACCTGAGACATGGCAGTAAAATTTAGGATAAATAATGGTTTCTCTTTGCATTTGAAGAGCATTTGGATAGCCTTTATCAGAGAAAGTCATGTAAAGTTACCACTCAGTTTGGGGGAATGAAGAACACATTCTAAACTGATGAAATAGTAAAAGAAGGGTCTCTTTCAAGAAAAGAGGGAGGAAAAAAGGAATACAGTCCACCCCCAGTATCTGCAGGGGATTAGTTCCAGGACCCCTGTGAACACCAAAATCCGTGAATGCTCGTCTCTCACATAAAGTGATGTAGTATGTGTATATAACCTATAAGCATTCTCCTGTATACTTTAAATCATCTCTAAGTTGCTTATAATACCTAATACGATGGAAAGGTATGCAAACAGTTGGTATACTTTATTTTTTATTTGCATTATCTATTGTTGTATTGGTTTTTTGTTGTTGTTGTTGTTTTGTTTTTTGTATTTTTTCCCCAAATATTTTCTATCCACAGTTGATTGAATCTGCAGATGTGGAACCTGCAGATATGGAGGGCCTACTGTATCATACAAGAGCAATAGGAAAATAAGGTAAGTAGGAGCAGATGTGGATGCTTTTCTTTAAAGAGTAAGCATAGCATTTATAGTCTGACATTGCCTTTAAGAACAGATCATTATAACAAAGCAAAAAAAAAAAAGCAATTGTACATCATAAGTTGGTCCCAGTGACACTTGTAGAAAAGAAGTAGCTGTAATTGGGAAAATGCCAAAAATGTATCCATCCAAGGGATGTTAGAATGCCCCTTCTTTACCCTGTTAACCTGAAGAGCTCTGATTCATCCTTTAAGTCTTAACCCAGAGGCTGGGAAGATAACTGCTGATATTGCCAAGAAGCACCCAGTATCTCCTTTGGGCTCCCTGGCATCCCACCCATGTCTTCATTAAAACACTTGTCACTCTTTAGGGATCACTCACACTCCTGCTGCCTTCTCTCCCTCCCCAAGACTGTAAGGATTGTAAGTCCCTCTTCTTTGTATTCTTGGTGTCTAGCGAAGGGAACGGGCATCTAGCCGTTTAATTAAGCTCTGCTAAAATGCTTTACATAGTCAATCATGTGTCTATGCATGTTTTGAAGAACATATAAAAATCAATGAGACACTTCTACAAAGAAAGAGTAGATATCCTTCTCCTAAGTGTAGCTAGAAAGCCTGGATATAATATATAAAACAAACATAGGAAGACAGGCTAGGAAACTTGGGACCCAAGGAACAACACTGTAATGAGTTCCCTAAGTTTTCATTTTAGCTCATATATCTCAGACTTGAAGCTGAAGAAGTCAGCAACCTGCAAATGCTAAGTGCAGACAGCAACGACAAAAAGCTCCGAGAGGGGTCTACTCTCTCTCTCTAGCCAAAGAGCCAGAAAAAAGGCAGCTTAGCAAGACAGAGAACAAAAACTGCTCTATTCTGACCAAACACCATGGAAAAAACCATGGCCCCACCCACCCCAGCAAAGGCCAAGTGGGGAGCCCAGACTTCCAACCTGGCCACACTATAAAGAAGTACCCCAATTCCCCTGTCAGGGTGGTGTCAGAAAAGCTTAGTAGGAACTGGGAATTTCATCCCCACCTGAAAATAATGAAGCCTTCCCACCACCCCTGTCCCACAGCATTGGTGGAGATCACAGAGTAGTGAAAGGTGCCCTATACATCCCAGCCAGGGAGGCATCAACAGAGGCCTAATGGAGAGCTGAATCCTCACCCGGCCCAGCAGTAACAAGGGGCCCCTCTCAGCCCAAGTGTCACTGGATGCTGAGTAAGGAATCTGCACTCCTAGCCCCACCTGCTAATAATGAGGCAGTGCTCTCAATCCCCCTGCTAGGGTGGTGCCAGAGAAAATCAGCAAAAGCAGGTTTAATAAGATCCACAGTCTCATAATACCTAAAATATCCAGATTTCAATTAAAAATCATTCATTATACCAAGAAGCAGGAAAACCTTTTTGAATGAAAAAAGACAGTCAACAAATGCAAACACTAAGATGACAGATGTTGGAATTATTTGATAAGGATTTGACAGCAGCCATCATAAAAATGCTTCAACAAGCAATTACGAATACATGTGAAATGAATGAAAAAATACAAAGTCTCAGCAAATAGAAGTCTCAACAAAGAGATAAAAATTCTCAGCCAACAAAGATATAATGAAGAAACAAATGAAAATTTTAGAAATAAAAAATACAGTAACTGAAATATAAAAATCAATGGATGGGCTCAACAGCAGAATGGATTATATAGTGGAAAGAATCAGTGAACATGAAGATAGAACAATAGAGATTACCCAATCTGAACAATAGAGAGAAAACAGATTGAAAAAAATGTATCTACAGAGCCTCAGGAAACTGTGGAACTAAAAAAACCAATGAATATTTTAAGTTATTAAATAATTTTCAGCTGCAAATTGTATTATCTAGATGTCTTTGTGGTGAGCCCCTATGCTGCTGAAGAATGATTATCATATGAAGGACATATAAAAATCTTTGGTGTACTAATATCATACCTAAATTGGACCTAGCAGCCTAAAAGTTAATGTGGCCTTTGAAGGTTCACAAGTTGGGACTAAAGGGCATAGTCAACAAAGCAGGGAAATCAGGTTCATTGTGTCATTTATCACATGCGCCAAGATGTTAAGTGATCGGTGACACATGCTCTTCAAATCTATGAAACTTCACAATGGACTGCTCGGTACAGAACAGCTCTGCTGCTGGTGGGGTCATTCTTGTGCACAGAGGAAAAACATTCCAACCATCTCAATGGAAAATGCCACCCTGCATGTGCTGACAACTTCTCTGAAGTTCCACGAAGACACAATGTTAATGTCTACGAGGACCATATTTAGAGCTATTTTCAACTGTATTTACCAGTGAGCAGGATGAGAATATTTTTCCTTTTTTGTTCTTTTTTTTTGTACAAATGTAGAGTAAAAGTTTATAGTAAGTACATGCAATTAACTCACAGATTGTCCCTCAAAGTTTAACTTGTTAGAGCCATTAAATCTGAAGAAATCTAATCACAATTTAAAAAAAAATTAGGATTAATAATCTGGCTTTTGAAAGGGAATACAGAAAAGATAGAAATAGGGTGTCATAAATATTTTGACTTCTGTTAGCTTTTCTTTCATTAAAACTAAAAGAAACAAAATTCCATGTTAAAATGAATCCAGAACTATTTTTAAATTCCTGTAAAGATACTAATGTAACATGGATATCCCAATCCTATTAGTCTAGTTTGCCAATGCCGTGAAGATTTATTACCAATAATGAGATTCAAAAATGTGGCGTTCAGACAATATTCACAGCTACTTCTCCCTTAAAAGAAGAGCAGTTTTAGGAATGGTCTGTCTTTATTCTCCAGAACTTGAACAAAGCATATAATTCTTACACATTCAAATATGTGTGAGACTCAGTAGGAATACCTTCTCCTACTGCTGTGCTGAGTCCACAAGTTTCCCTGAGATGTTCGTATCACAGAGGATTCCCAGTTTTAACTCTGGTTGACAGTTTCCAAACAATGCAATAGTGCAGATAGAGGACTGTATAAAATATAAGGTTCTCTTAAAAAGATTTATGGTGTGCTTTTGTAATAAAAAAATATCAGTCTTCTTGGCTAAAAGTTGGCAAATGTGTTTTCAACTTTAAAATGTCTGAAATTGGCTCTTTCCTTTCTTGATAGAAGCTGAGTCCAGTGATGTGTTCAACATCTGTGATCCGCGCTCTGTGTAACATTAACAACTCTTCAACCCATGAGGATTCGTGCTTCCCGTGCTATGAGGATGGGAAATGAAGAAAAAAAATGTCACTGGAGAATACTTATTTCCCTATAAGCTGTCCATTTCCCCAGTTTAATCAGTTATGATATTTTGGCTCTGAAATGGCAGATGCCACAAAATTTGTGAGGCATAATCCCTGCTCTTGAATAGCTCACCCTCTAAAATATACATCTAATTTGTTTAATATTGCACAGGTACAAGAAACTTCAATGGTACGGGGTTAAAAATATTTTGGAAAATAGAAACGATATGGCATGGGAGAAAGAATATGGAGATTAGTATGAAGAAACTTGGATTCAAGTCCTGGTTCTATGACTATCCTATCAGGTAAACTAAGGCAAGTTATTTAACATCTAAATCTCGATTCCCTTACCTGTATCCTCCCTACAGGGTTGTTCTGAGGATCAAATGTAATGATGTGTGCAAATGTACAAACACTAGTTCTCATGAGACTGCATTATCTACACAGTTACATGAAGAATGAGGTTAGGGGAAGCAGTAAAACACAATTTTATCTCTAGTGAGAGAGTAAGTCTTAGATGATATGAGATCAGAAAAAAATTAAACACAGCTATTCTGGCAAATGGAAGCAGAGGTGGTAGATGAAGCAGGTAACAGGGATGGAAAACATGCATCCATGTGCTAGTGTAAGTTTTTTGGAAAATAGCCTTTGGAGAAGGTCAGGTGAAGAAAGTATCCACTGGTTGGTGGACTATGATTGTGTTTCAAAGACATCCTTCAATAAAGGTTCTTGTACCCTTGGAACATTATTAGCTGAAGATGATAGACTTTTCACATATAAAACAGACCAACAATCTCCATATTCCCAGTAGCATCCAATCACCCACTACCCAACACTCAGTCTCCTCCTCTGCAGTAATCCTTCCTCTGGCTCGAAGGGGAAGCGCCCTGACTCAGTGGACTACTTGACCGGTAGATATTTGCCATCTGTTCAACTTTCTCAGGAACAGATAAAATGCACACAGAAGGCATCTGTTCTCTCAGGCTAATGTCCAACTAATCTTTAGACACTACTTCAGAGATGAAATAGAAGGAATCAATAAGTATGTATGACATACCTTTAAGTAATGCTTTCTCTGGTTCAAGTCCAATACTTAGTATATTCTAGGTACACTGTCATTATAGAATTTGATAAAGTGTTTTCATTTAAGATAGTGGTCTAATAGCTTTTGGAATGGTAGAGTTGGAAAAGGAATTCAGTGTCTAACTCATGGCACTTAACATCATTTTAATCAATGAGATTTAAGCATAAGCCTACGGCTGCCTTCTTCTGGTGGGGAGGGGGCCCAGAGTTGAGACAATATGTAGAGAAGCAGAAGCCATCTTTGGCCCATGTGGGCCAAAGCCACATGCTAAGAATGTTGGGGCAGAAAGATAAGAAAGGTCTGGGTCCCTAATGGTGTTGCCAACCTAAAGCACCATCCCAAGACTAGGTACCAATGGGTTCCTGTTACATGAGGAACCCCTTACTTGATTAAGACACTCTACTGGGTGGGAGTTGGGGTGGCATCTGCTATCTGCTGCAGAACACAACTCGAAGGAATACATTTAAAGACAATTTAATCTCCCAAGGAAAAGAAAGTACTGAAGAAGGGAATACTTGGTCTGTGTCCAAAAGTTTCCACAATATTGATGCTTTAGCAGAGTTAGATGCCCATGAAGCATCCAAATAGTTAAAGTCCTGCTATTCTGTACTTGATTTTGAACAATTAAAAAAAAAAAAAACTTAATGAAAAATGTGTTCTATGAGGAATGGTCAAATAATTCTGAATGTTTATCACAGAAACAATCAAGGAGAGACATATCTTCATTAATTTTAATGACTGATACACAGAAAGATTACTATGTCAGGGATGGCCAATGGGTCACTGTACTCTATTCCTGGGCCCATGGAAGAGATCACTGTTTTGTTCACTGCTGTGTCCCCAACCTAGAGCACCAGGCAACAAATATTTATTAAAGGAATGAATGGCTGGATGGAAGAAGTGATGAATGAATGAGCACACCCAGCACTCCTTCCTACTGAGTTCAAACTGGGCCTCTGGATCCTCCGACCCCAGAACTCAGGTATCCAGCACCCATCCATTGGGATTGGTATAAAAGCCAAACCTTTGTCCAACTCAGGTATAGACTTACTTTGTGTAACTTCAGTGGAAAAAAAAAAAGAAAAAAAATGTGGGAAGTACTCTAAAGAAAAACAGTTTGCCTCACCATAAGGAAAAACTTAAAAACTGCTAAAATTTTAGGCAGTCTTGACATTCAAATCTTCAATTTAGATTTTGAAAATTCTGAGCAAATAAGATAATGCAAAACAACTGTTTCCAAATGAACACTGGAATGGCAATAGAGCAAGAAAGGATAAGATTCTTATAATAAAGAGATATGTAAAAATTAATTTAAAATGTTGTCTAACCACAATTTTAAGACTGATTTATAGCAGTGCTGACACTTTTGGAATCATAAACCCAGTTTTGAAACAAGAGAAAATTCATATTTCAAATAAACCTAGAATTTAGTGGCTAAGCCATACAAAGATTGATTCTGATCTGATATTTAGTGTATTTAACAGGCAAGGGCAGTCTTCTCCAAAGATATATCATCTTAGAGGATCAGATTTGAAACTGTCCTGTAATTTCAAAGCCCATGCATATTCAAAGTTGTTGTTATTTGCCACAGATGTAAGACACACATACAAACATACATATGCTTGTATTTTCAATATGTAAAATAAATTAACAAAGGCTACTTACCACACAGCTCTCACTGTTATCAGTCCTGTGAGGCAATATAAAAGCTAAGGTATCCAAGTTTTCACACTGCAAAGGAGTCTGGAATTTATTTTTACAACTTGTTAGCGCAATGAAGAAGTGAGTTGGAATCAGAATTTCTTGATTACGGATGACTTTGCTGTTTCTGTAAAATATGCCAATATTCACTTTAAGAAAAAAATAATGTTCCTTCTAATGAACATTTCAGTAGAGCATGTTTTTAATATCTACATCTAAAAATCAATGTCAAATAATTAAATATAAGAAGTCAGTAATCACAATGCCTCAACATTTTCTGCCAGATTAAGAGTAATAATTAGAATACAGTCAGATAAACATAATCCAAATAATTTTTATTTTCTATAGAAATTTATCGAATTTTGAAAAATTTTTTTAATTCTATATGAAGACACTGGAATTGTGATACTAAAGAAAAGAAAATATCATTTTTAAATACCTACAACCAAGATTCTAATCCATTATTTATAGTTTTTTAAACTTTATGAAGTTATGGACAGATAGTAGAGAGAAGAGAGAACTGATTTGGGATATTTTACTCCAGCTCCTTCAGAGAGAACATGTCGTTTTGAATTCTACTTTGTTTTAACTGGATTTTCTTTCCTATCCCAATAACTTTAATTTTTTTAAAACAACAAAGTTAAATTTGATATTTAATCAGATATTTCAAGAGGCCGCCAGTATAGTCAAAAATGTCATGTGCAAAAATATGAATAGTAGCAGACAGAAAATGTCCTACTGACTAAACCGTAATCCCATTTGATAGCTATTTTTAAGAGTAATGAAATACATTCTTACTTTTTTAGAGTCTCTGAGGAATCGTAATGCCCATCATAATCAGAGTCAAACACAGGACCACTGATGACATTGACACTGTTTCTTTCTTCAGCATACCTCTGCAGTAGGGCCTCATGAAAGTAGTGCCATATAACTGAAACAAGAAGGAAGACAGTGTAGTTTCCAAAGAATAAGGTACCACACTGTCATGTGAAATAAATTAACACCATGATTCAAAATTAGCATTTGTAATAATTAGAGATAAAGTCAAGTTTGGCTTCAGTTTTAGTGTGAGGCCAGAAATCCATTGTTCAGCTTTGGCCTTTGGAAGGACGAAGAAGCAAAAGTTGAATTCCACTCTATTTCAGCCATCCCTGAACGACTCCATCATGATGAGCTTGTGATCATATATCATCATTAAGGGTAACAATGTCACAAACACAAACAAGGCATGTCATTCAGATTTACTATTAATATTTAAATATTCCTTTTGAAGTATTCACAAGTATTCTAGATGTAAATTAGATAAAAATCTTATATGTTCTATATTTTGATATTCTATACATCAGTTTAAGTATAAATGTGTTCCTGTAAGAGTCAAATGCTGCAATAGTTAATGATGATGTTAAATCTATTCATTTTAAAAATAATAACAATCATAAAGAACTTCCAAATAGTTAAATAAGGAAACAGACTGAAAGTTAATGTAGGTGTTAGTGGGCTGTATGAGCTAGAAAACTTTAGGAAGGACATCATATATTTTTTCATCAAAAATGTTTATAAACATGGGCCGGCCTGGTGGCGCACTGGATAGTGCGCCGCTTGGGAAGCGCGGTGGCGCTCCCGTCCGAGGGTTCGGATCCCACATACAGACCGGCTCCCGCTCACTGGCTGAGCGAGGCGCGGGAGCAACGCCGAGGCTTGCGATCCCGTTGCCGGTCCCCGGTCCGGTACGGGGGCAACACTGAGGGTTGCGATCCGTTGCCGGACACGGAAAAAAGACAAAAGACAAAAAAAAAAAAAAAAAAAAAAAAAAAAAAAAAAAAAAATTTTAAAAAATTTAAAAAAAAAAAAAAAAAATATTTTGCAATTTTTTTTTTTAAATTT